AGTTTTGCCTTTATCGTAGTAGTACTGTAAAATATGCCGTATTTTCTCTTTATTTTGCTCCATGTTTGCGACGCTATAACTCACGAACGACTTAATAGAAACGACAATCAATCAAACACGTGTTAGCGCGGGAAGTGAGCTTTCCGATGCGACGAACAAAACTAGAACTACGCGCTCTCAGCGCCAACTAGCGAAAATACCGCAAGACTTTTTTGATACACTAATATAATGTTCAATTGCTTGTATATCGACTAAATGGTAGTTCAAATAGCTTTCAAGACAAAATATGAACTTATGGAACATTTTTTCTAAGCTTTCGAGGCAAAATATAAACTTATGGAAAATTTTTTCGAAACGATCTCAGGCACTGTCAAACTGCCAAAAGCATTTACATTAGGAAAAAGCTACGCATTAAACTCATTAGCGCCTCGAAGCTCGTCGTGAATAAAGGATGGATCTTAGATATCGTTTCAGATGTCTTAATAGAAACTATTACAGAGTTTTCATCAACGTAGAAGAATTAGAATTTCTTTATATCGCTTTTTCCAAACAGATTTCGTTCCCACATTCAGCAGCATGAGGGTTACGCAATAATTGAACTCGGCTATGGAAATCTATTTACAGAAACTGACCTCAATCGCAAGTTTGAGTATAATTTTTTAGGTATAAAGTGCATATTTTTGGTCGAAAAAGCAATTGTAGGGTTAGATTTTAGAATTTATGTTACTGTGTTTCACTTTTATAGGGTGCTAGAGCTTTCTATATCATAAAAATAATTATAGGGTAATAACTCTGTTGGTTAGGTTGGTTTCTATTCAGTTTTTTAGGTTAGAGTGAATTTTTTCCATCGCAAAACTATGTTTGTTGTTATGATTTTATAGGCTAGTTTAAATTATCTTCACTTTTTTAGGTTAGAGTGAATTTTTTGCGTCGCAAAACTATATTTTGGGCCTACAATTTTACAGGTTAGGCTGTCTTGTCTTCCATTTTCTGGGATATGTTGAATTTTATGCCTCAAATTAAAAACTTATGCACAAAATTCTAGCGATTCTATCCATTGATCATTATACATTGTTAAAAAATAGATACAAAAAAAGGTTTATTTTTGCACAAAATCATCAATCAAGGCTCGTCTTGTTTATAAACATTTTCTGACTTATTCTAATCTTCTACTTATATCTGAAACTCTGTAGTACAACCTCGAAGCACTTTAACAGCCTAAAGTGCTTGCACAGCCTTCATTTCGATTCTAACTAAAGCATAACGCTCGCCTCTAGCCGCTTAGGCTAAGCGTGCTTAATATAATCATTGAAGACAAACGTGCTTTGCTGCTTTAGTATTTCTTCAACACTGCTTTCCGCCTTATTTCGTTAATCAAATAACAATCAGACGATGAACAGCACGTCAGCTTATACCTTGAAAAAAGACTAATTCATTCTATAATTTTTTTCTAAAAAAAAAAAATTTCAGAAAAAGAACAAAATAAATTGAAGAATTCAGAAATTATACAACAACAAAATATACCGTTGACGGGAATCACCTTCAAAGTAAACGAAGTCTTCCGCAATGTGCGAATTCGTCAAAGACGCGTGCGCCGCTGATTAAGGCGAGCACAGCAAAGTCAAAGCATCTAAATGCAACAACAACAATACAAATAATAGTAAATTTTGTATAAACACGATACTAACTTAGCAGTTAACAGCTGTTTTGCTCTTTGCAAACAAGCCAAACAAAGTCAACAAAAGACTTAAGCGAGAAACTTGTTTTGCGCGCATTTTACCATATATTTGCATTTATTTATTTTTTGGCATTTTAGCAAAGTTATCAAACAAAAAAAAAAAAAAAAAAAAAAAAAAAAAACAAAAAAAATGCGCAAAAAAGCGCAAAAAAGTCCAACAGTCTAAGTCATAGCTGAAATTTTTTTTAAATAAATATACACACAGAGATTTAAAGATAGCA